GTCATCTTTCTAAATGATGCATATCCAAGTCAACTTTAGAAATTTCTATTTCAGACAATATAAATTCAGATGAATAAAGCAGTCCTCTAAGAACAGACTGCCAAACAGAAAAACATTTACCAAAGTGTAATTCTGAGTTGTCATGTGTATGGGGGAAAAGAAATAATTGTTGTGTATTCACACTGTAAATAAGCATCAACAGAATTTAAGGCACTTTAAAGGCTGCAGCTAATTTGAGTCACTTTAAGGATAACGCATTATACAAATTTCCTAATACTGTGTAATATTTAAATAAATGTCATCTAATGCATTAAAAAATAGGGTACGGCTTAAGAATGACCTCTTTATAGAACATTATAAGGATTATTAGCAGTTAAGTATTAATGGAGTATGGTAAGAATTATTACCTCCTTGTTATTCCATTTCTTCTTAATTTATAAATCAAGCTTTAGAATCAACAGCTAATATGAGATATCTAGAATAAATTCATAGAGACAGAAAGCAGAATGGTGGTTATCAGGAGCTGAAGGGCGGGAGTGATGGGGAGCTTTTATTTAATAGGTTTAGAGTTTCTGTTTGGAATAACAAAAAAGTTCTGGATTGATTGTGGTGATGATTGGTACCACATGGTGAATCTAATTCATACCACTGAATTGTACACTTAAGATAGTTAAAATAATAAATTTTGTGCTATGTGTATTTTTACCACAATATAAAAGCAACAGATAATTTAAGCATTTCCTGCAGCATTTGCCAGCAATCTTTATTTATTTATTTTCTATCTCATTTCTGGTCTGCCTTCTTTCCCATTTCCTAAACAGGCCATTTCATGCCGTTCTCCTTACATCTCCAACCCCTAACTCTGCCTTCTTCATCCTTGGAAGATAAGCTTGTCTATTTTAAAGAGAAAAATAGAATCCACAAGAAATAAATTTGATCAACTTCTTTCCCTCTGGTTCAACTTATCTGTCTCTACCTGTGCTTCTCCCAATGACTGTCCCCACCACATTGCTGGAAACTCTACCCCCAGTATTCCTGTGATTTCAGCCTCTTTCCCACTCACTTCTTCTACTTCTAGTCACCTCTCTACCCACCCCCCACCACTCTGCTGGTCTTGCTCCTCACAAGACATCAGTGACACAACACCAATTTCTGGCTCCACTGGCTCATTCTTGGCACTCTTTCTGGATATTAGCCTTAGCCATGACTCCTTCTTCCCTCTGTCTATCTGTCTCTGTGGTCACTCTTCAGTCTATTCTCTTGGTTCCCCCTTTTTTACCTAAATATTATGGAACATATTATGGAATATTTACATAATATTTGACTTGACTCCTTTCTGGTCAGCCTCAATGATATATTATCACAGTCTACCTAGTGATAATATCCAAAAGTACATTTTTCTTGAACTAAACTTGCACTTTCTATAGTCCTATATTTTCAAATATGTATCGGGCTTCTCTAGGTGGTGTGCCATCAGAAAGTGAAATGCAACAAAACAAATGCGAATTCTACTTTTCCTCTTTGCCTATGCCTCTCCTCTCCTCTCCTGGTAATGAGAGGAATTACCATCTACTATGTCTTCCAAGCTAGAAATACTGGAATCAATGGTTAATACTCCTTAGTTTTTTCCCTCTACATACATCAAACTATAAAATCAGGCTTATGGATTTTATCTGTTTTTTTTTTTTGATAGCTATTTTTCACTCTTTTAGCTTGAGAACTTCAGATCTTTTCTCTAGAATATTATGATAGATTCCTAATGAGTACCACTTCCTTGTATTTTAATGCTTGTTATTACTCCTCCACATTAGCCTTCAGAGCTATCTTTCTAAATCTCTTCCATGTTGAAAACCACAAAACAGCTTCTATTTGCCTGAAATATAAAGTCCAGATTCATAGTCACAGGATGTCTTCTCTTCATTATGAACAAACTTCAAAACTTTAAGGGAGTTCAATTATGCCTAAAGATATATATTAAGCAAGGCATTGAAAAAATGTTTTGGTTTCTTAAAATGTGTTCTTCTAGATAGTCTTGAACTTAAAAGAACCTTAAGAAAAACAAACCTTCCCTCCCACAACTATACAGATGAAAACAGACATATAATGCTAATTGAAAAAAAAAAAAAAGCTTAGTAAACACATGGAGGAGATATATGCAGAAACCCACAACTGATTTAATTTGCAAAACCACAGCTTCAGCTCAACTAAAGTAAAGATGACTTAGATAAAATACAACCAGAAAACTGAGATAAAAGATATGGGGTAAATAAATTAAGCTGATGGTTTCACCAGCGAGCATTATGGGCATAGCATGAAGGTCTGGGAAATTGCTTGAGACTAGGAAGTTGTGGATCACTCTATGGAGGCCCCAGGATCATTGAGTTGTAGGGGAATCATAGCTAACTGGAGTATAGGGCCATGTCACTTGTGAAGATATGGCCTCTTGGTGCAAGAAGAGAAATATTTTTAGGGAGCAGTTAAATTTTGAAGGTTGCACTGGGTGATCATTGTATATTTAAAGGTTGTTTTAGAACCAGAGTTTAATCGTGGCTGTCAAGAGGCTTTCAGTGTGGTATCGACTAACATCAACCAACCGTGACGCCACAACAGCCTTTCGGTTCCCCTGGGACCCAGCTTCTTGGTCTTTAAAATGAGGGTCTGATGAGAACTTCTATTTGTAAATGCTAAAATTCCACATTTTACTATTTTATTTCAATATTATTAAGATGTGGGAAAAGTTTTAAGAGAGACGGTTTCTATCCTTAGATGTAAGAAAAGGGGACAATGAAAGATGATTTAGAAATTGACTGGAGCTATTCCTTTTTCAGTGATATGTTTCTAGTGTAGCAAGTGCTTTGCATGTTCCTTCAAATGTGAGTTAAAAGGAGAGAGAAGGGCCTCCCTGGTGGTGCAAGGGGTTAAGCACAGAGCTATGAAGTTGTCCGCAGCCACTGCAGCACAGAGTTTGATCTCCAGCTGCCCAGGGAGCTACCCACATAGCCCAGCAGACCTCTCTTCTCTTGCCCGCTGCTCCCTTCAGCAGTGTGTTTCAGTCAATCCACCTGTTCTGTTCTCCTCTCACCCCCTGCACCTCTGGCCTGTACCCCAGTTCTTATATGCATAAATAAATAAATCTTAAAAAAAAAAAGGAGAGGGATGTGAGAGTCTTGGAGCCTGGGCTGTATGATTGGGAATTAGACAATCTTTCATTTCCTTCTCGTCACTTTTCTCCCTGCTGAAATTTCAGCAAGAAGCAATAAAAAGGTAAGACCTTGAAAAAGAAGTATAGATCCCCATTACTATTAATACTAGTCAGGTATTTTATGTGCATATGATGAAGGAGCCAGGCCTCATGAAGAAGACAGGGTTAGACATTATTCGGGACCAGGAAAGACTATGCGTTTTCTGTGTCACCTGTGTGTTGTCTGAACCCTCCTTTTTAAAAAAAGCCACAAAAGAAAGCATTTCATCATGTAAGAGTAGGACATATTCCAGAAATTTGTTTTTTGTTCTGAGCCCTGTTTGCTGTTATTTCCTAGCACTTTCTATGATATAAATGATCTCATTTATGTGCTGTTGATTTTTTTTTTTTTTTTTTTTACTGTTTTTCTCCTCCGAAAGAAAAATTTCACAAGGCCAATATGCTGGCCCTTTTCTCCCTTGTATTCCCAGACCCAGATCAATCACTAACCAATGAGAAAGTCTGTGCTTGATCAATAAATAATTGTCTGAAAAAAAATCTAGTCTTCCCCTTCTTTATAAATATTCTAGTTTTCTCGTAGTTACTGATTAAACCACTCTAATGTGTGAAGGAAATCTCAGCAGCACTTGCATTTTTAAGAGGATCTGTGTTCATTAAACTTCCAGTTGGCAGAAGTTCATGTCCTAAAATAAAGTGAGAACTTTCTGGCAGTGTGAAGAACGGTATTTTGAGTTAAGGTGGGGAGTAAGTAGCTTCCCAAAGTCAGTCACCCTTGACTTACTGGGATGTCTCCTCCAAGAAAAATAGTTCCTCTGCTCTAGTCTTATTCCTCCTAGTTTCTCTGTGGCTGAATCCATAAATCCTCCAAGTGCCAGCCGTTGGAGGCTGCACTTCAGGATCCACAAGAGACACAAGGAGCAGGTTAAGACAGAAGCCATACCAAGACCAGATGCTTTGTTTCTGCCCAAGAGAGCGAATCATGGATTTTCTGTAACTTGGTGGTTATTATAATTTTCATACTTCTTTATTTTCAGGGCTAATAACTATGTTCAATGAATTACTCAACTGCTGAAAATTGTCCATTTGCTCAAACATGAAGAAACTATTGTATTTCTGACTTTACTGTGCAAACCAACCCCCAAATTAATAAAGCACAGATATCTTAGGAGTTAAAAAATTATTCTTTGGGAAATAGTGACATAAAATATTTTCTTGAACTAGGACATCTCCTTGAAATTTTGGGACTCTGCTTCAGGAGTTTGGTTAAAAAAAAATAATAATAATAGACATGAAATGGATCAGAAACTGAACCTTATTAGTGAGTCAAAAATTCTCACATCACAAGAAATGTGAGAACACACTGCCTAAAAAGCAAATTACAAAGTTGCATCAGTAACTTACGTTTAAAAACAATTTATATCTCACAGTCCAACAATGCATCATTTTTCTAGCAACCCCATAGAGTTGAAGCTGAAACTTCAAAGTTCTTACTAAAGAATGTTAATCTGCCTTCATTTCTCATTCATTTTTTAATTAAACAAACCTTCTTAATAGTTCATTGCAAGTCACAGCAGTCAGCAGATGTGTGTGTGTGTGTCCATATATGAGTGAATTTGCCATTCTCGATCTGTTTAGTGGATTATTAAACACGACATTAAACATGAAGGAACTGATGAAAGAATAAAGTACAAGAGGAAAATTCCAGGAGGGAGTAATGAAAGTTTGACAATGAGATTAACCAAAGCCTGGAGGAATGAATTAGAATTCTAAAATACATTTTGTATTTACAATATTGTAGGTTTGGAAGATCGCTGACAGAAAGGAAACACATAACGCAATGAAACTGGAATCTGGCTGAGCTGGAAAGAAGCAGGGGTTGAAGTAGATGTTGAAGGTCGAAGAAGGAAGGAAGCCCACATATACAAACTCATTGTGTCTGTGAGCTTCATCCATGAGCTTCTACCTGCATGTGGACTTAGAAATGACTGGCCAGTGATAGAGCCAAAGCAGACTGCTGTGACAGCTCCTTCCTCCCTCACAAGTTCACCCCCAGACACAAAAACTTCCAGAGTTCCACAGAGTTTGCCAGCCTCTTCTGTCTCTTCAAACACGTGGAGGAATTTGCCAGCAGCCAGGAGTACAGAGATCCACCCTTAAGAGCCCTATGATGGATGCTGGGAAGGATCCAGAAAGGCAGGAGAGGCCTAAGCAGAGCTCCTAGTTTGATCATGAAGCTGAACCAGAGTGAGTATTTTCTCTGATACTAAAATAAGTCATATATTGGGCAGCAAGACAAGGAACTAAGCCCACAACAGTAATTGAGATATAAAGAAGGGAAGGAATCTCATACTCACTTCATAGGATTAATACCAGCATCAGGTACTGTTGTAAAAATTAGTCAATAAATAGTGTGGATTGTCAAATTCAGGCTGAGTCAAGTGAAGAACAGACTGTGGCATCAAACAGACAGTCCTATGTCACATTCCATCTCGGCTACTTAGTGTTCTGTGACTTTCAACCAGCTATCCTCAGTCCCCTCATCTATTAAATGGGCACAATGACAATATCAGTATTAATTCAGTTGTGGATCAACAGATGTAAAGTGATTAGAGCAGAGGCTGATACATAGAGAAAGCTCAGTATCAGAATTATTAGTACTAAGTTTATATACTTGATAGAATCAAAAGAATGATGATCTTTGTTTCTTCCTCTACTATTTAGCAGAAAAAATAATTTCTTCATGGTGATTACTTTTTAGTTGTTTTGTTTAGAGAAGGGTTTGGGGTCTTCCTGGTTGGGTCCTCACTGCTCCTTTACTTCTCCATCCTTCAGCTAGAGTCATGTGTTCCCCACACACTCACCTCTCCCTGTCACACCATTTCCCCTGTCCCTTGTCAACCAGTCAAGTTATCACATAGTCAGTTTCACTTTCGTGTTATACAGTCAGTTTCACGCTGGAGTAAAGAATTTCAACCAAGTGAAGTATGTGACATATAGGACTTAGGAGTGACAATCCCCAGCTCTTCCCAGAAGCAGCAAGTTCCCTTCACTCCTGCATTTGTAGGTTGAACAGTCACCTGTGGAGAACTGCACGGTGCCGGGAGGAGGCAGGTTCTTTTGTTTGGATTTGGGGCTTCCCATCTTTTAGTTTCAGGCCAAGGACGCCGTTAAAGGCATTCCTCCCGAATCTCTATGGATGCAGCCTGGCTGGGTCTGACATTAGGCCTCCTCTCTTTCCCTTTTCTTTCCCTTTTCTTAACCACAACACATACCTGCCTCCTCTTCTCTTACTGGATTTTGTATCTTACCTTTTGTGCCTGTCTCTTGTCCTTTGTTTGTCCAGGGCATTCCCTCTCTGCACCAGGCTGTCTCGCATCCACGGTGCTTCTGTCACACAGCTCACTCTCCATGACACTAACCCTTTTCATTACACATCACACCCGCCTTCTTCCTGTTTGAGGTTCTCTGTCGTTCCCCCAGGCGCTCCTCTGCTTGTCATTTGTGTAGACCACACTGACATGCACTAGCGATTTACTGTGCTCTGGCTGTGTGGGGGCCTCTCCTGCAGGCCAGGGTTACACCAGAGAGGAAGAGACACAGATTCTGCCTGAAGGAGCTCACATTGTGCTTTGGGGAGAAATGGAAGGGTGTGATTAAAGCTGAGAGAGCTTTCTCTGCAGGATGCCAGCACAGGGATAGGGAGACCCTTCAGGGGAGGTGATCACGGAGGAATCATCCAAGTGAGGATTTGGATGGAAGAATGCATGCTGGGCTCCTGGTCCCACATGGAGCCAAGAGGCAGTTGAAGAACCATGAGGTGCTTTAGACCTTGAGAAATGGCTGCCTGGAGAGGGAGGTAGGGGAGAAACTAGGAAGATCCCGGCATGCCATGTGAAGGGGCTAGGTTTTATTGTGTAGATGATATGGAAAAACTGAGGAATCCTAAAGTACAGAAAGGTATTCAGGTTATTGTCCTAGTTAGATCCTCTGTCAACAGAGTGAAGAGTGGGTGAGACTAAAAGCTCAATCTCAGAAAAAACAATTGTGAGGTCGTCTATATAAAATGGTATCACATCAATAGCCTAAATATTTGTACCTGCCTGTGTTTCTAAAGATGCTGCAGCAGCAGCTCCCATCCAGAAGCTCTTCTCCTGATTTCTCAGCCACACACCATGGAGGGGTCATCCTGGTTGGCCTGTGACTTGCTTTGACCAGTAGAATGTGAGACAAGAGATGCTCGGTGACTTGCTACATTGGGCCTTAAGATATCTGAGCTATTGCCTTTGTGACTTTAAAACATTGCCTTTGTGACTTTAAAACATTGGCTCTTAGAATTTAATCACCAGCTATCCAAGGTAGCTATAAAGAGAAAGAGGGGTCTGGGGTGGTACTGGTACTGCTCTTCTAGCATGCCCACCAAATGCCATATCTGTGAGTGATCCCATCCCAGATCTGACAGTGACCTCACAAAAGACCTCAGGAGACACAATGTAGAGCAGAATTGGCCCAAATTCCTGTTCATCGAACCATGAACTAATAAAAATGGAATCTTAAAACACTAAGTTGTGGGTAGTGGGTAGTATGTTACACAGTGAACAATCCAAAGCAATGTGCTGGATCAAATAAATATGTCTCAGATAAATAAATAATAAAGAATGAAATAAAAATACATATCAACTAATAAATGTTGGACATATAAAATAAGTAATAATGAAATAATTAAACAAATACAAGACAGTGGCACCAGCCCACTGTCAAGAGTAGTGAGTCATACCACATCCTAATTACTTAGTACCAAATCCCAGCTCCACCCTATGTCACACTTCACTGATTAGCGCTCAAACTTTTGAAAAGGCAGTTCTTAGAGAATGTAATTATTTGAGTCTGACTCGCGAAAGGCTTAGAGAATGAGGTCTGTGGGTTAAGATTCTCTGGAATTCAATCTGAACTTTCCCATTGGTAGTTTTAAGACAAATATCCAAACATATATCTCACTTTTTGGAACTGCACAATATTTGCTGATTCCTTACAACTTGTTTTGTTAGCTTGTAGCAGGTGCTCAAGTAACATCTTTTCTCGATTTCTTGTAATATTGATGAGAAAAAAAAAATCCTGGCTGATGCTGAATGAAAGGATGTGATTTGAGGACCTGCTTTCATTACACTTTGTTTCACTTAAAGTCACTGTTTCCATGTTGGAAACAGTGAATGTCATTTAAGTGAGGACTCATGTATTGCTAAGTGTCTTGAGGTAGAAGAGTTCTTTTTTTTTTTTTTTTTTTTTTTTTTTTGTGGGACCTTCGCCGGCGGCTGGGGAATGAACCAGCGCTGCAGAGGCTGCTGGGCAGCCTTGCAGCCCAGCGCTCAACTGCTGCGCCACCAGGGGAGGCCCAGAAGAGTTCTTGAATAAATAGTGGGATCTCTCTCTAGGTCTAGAGAGAGCTATTTAGTCAGATCCTTAAACTCACCCTGAATATGGATAAAAATGCAGAGTTCTAGGTTATTTTTTCACAAGAAAATATCAACAATATTTTATCAGGAGAAAATTGATTTTTTACTGAAATAAGCATATTCTCTCTGTTCTGAATACTTCCAGTCTTTTAAGAGAAGGGATTTCTTCTTTCTTTTATATCTACTGGAATAATAAAATTCAAATATGATGTTACCTCCTCTTATGGGAAATTTTAATGTATATTTACTTCTTTTTTTTTAAGATTTATTTTATTTATACAAGAACCAGGGTACAGGCCAGATGTGCAGGAGGGTGAGAGGATTCACCAGAGACAGAGCAGGGAACAGAACAGGCAGACTGACTGAAATACACTGCTGAGGGGAGCAGCGGGCGAGACAGGAGAGGTCTGCTGCGCCATGTGCATTACTCCGCAGCTGGCGGGGATCTAATCAGCACTGCAGAGGCAGCAGACAGCGTCACAACACTGTGCTCAGCAGCTGCCTGTGCCACCAGGGAGGCCCTATTTACTTAATTAACTTAAAAAACTATATGCTAATCTGTGCTTGGCAATATTAGCCATATTTTGTTAAGTAAGTTGCATCTATTTTATTTTAGTAAGTAATAAAACCCTTTTCCTACTGCTCACATACTTTACTGTTCTGAGGCCCTTCAGTCACAAATCTTAAGTGTACTGTAAATATTAACAAATCTCAATGCCCAGAACCAGGAACAAGTGCTAGTAGCAAAAGCCTTTTCTTTATTAGAATGGAAGAAGAAGGTCAAAGTATGTGGTGCTGTGCCTTTGACAAATACTTAAGCTGCTGCTGCTTCAGAGCCTGGGATTGTGCAAGTTACTTCTTTCTGAATGATTTCATCAATTTTAAAGGGATGGACTTTATTTTTCTTTTCTTTTTTTAAAAAGATTTATTTATTTATTTATACAAGCACTGAGGTACAATCAGAAGCGGGGAGGGTAAGAGAATTCACCAGAGCCAGAACGGAAAGCAGAACAGGCAGACTGATGAAGTACACTGCTCAGGGGAGCAGCAGGTGGCAGGAGAGGTCTGCACTCCATGTGGGACCTCGCCCAGCAGCCAGGGATTGAACCGGTGCTGCAGAGGCTGAGGGCAGCTTCGAACCTAGCGTTCAACCGCTGTGCCACCAGGGAGGCCTGGGATGAACTTTATTTTTACAAAACTATGTAGAATTTGGCTTAGTTGTGTGTAAGGGACAGAATTATTCAAGTTTCTCATATGAAAATGGTTTATCTATGGCTACTGTTAATATCACCCCCTTCCTTGCAGCCTCAGTATGTTCTGACAAAGATGCATGTCCTTTTCAATGACTAATGCAAAAGAATTAAAAAACTTCTCATTCTTAGAATTCTTAGAGAAGAATCCATCTGACTGTTATTCATCATGATCTTATCTTTTAGAAGCAAAGTCCACTGAGGAAATCATGTTGATCTTTTTAGAGAACTAACATTTTGAGAAACCTTAGTAGCTACAATATTCCTTGTGTTATCAGCATTACCAACACAGTAGATGGGAAAATGTTTGGTTGCTCTTCTGTATGAAATTTTAATTTGCAAAATCAAAAGAAATTATTAACTGACTTGAAGGTTTGGGTGACTGCACTTCAGTTTACTAGTAAAGGGTTACACATTCCACTACTGGTTTTGCTCTCTAATCTACACACATTACTCACCAATGTATGTAGAAGCTGACTAACCAGAGTCCAGGGTCCTTAAGTTATATCCAATACTGTACTACCCAAGTGCCAGGTAAAATCCT